TCTCTAGTGCGACGTAAATGAACTACAACAATAACAAGTCTTTAAAAGGTGGTGTGCCCTAATTTTTTTTTTTAGGTCTAGCACGAGTAATTTTTTTTCTCTTGGTAAGTCTTCTTGAAAAATGCTGTTTTTTGTTATATTTTCTTTTCTAGTTTTTCTTTTGTTGCACTAATTAGAAAACAATTGTAATTTATATTGTTATCAGGTAATTTGTACTGTTATTATAGCAAATCCAATGGCTGTGGGTCCGAATCCCGCTTAGGGCATGGATGTATGTATTGTCCTCTGTTGTGTGAACGTGGCCCACCCTATGAACTGTTATGTGTGGGGTGGGTAAGGTTTCCGCCTCCGTGACTTAGGTTCACAGGTGGCCACTGGGTAACGTTAAATAAGCATCACTTCCGGCATCTTCCCAGGTGAAGAACGTCAAAATTCAGTAACTGCAATTTAAAGAAAATAATATATTAGCAAGTCGAATATAAATAGTGGTGACCAGGAAACTATTGAAACTTATATTCAGATGTTAGCTCCAATACAGTATTGAATATTCTCTTAGTCTGTTTGAAAGGCTAACATTTTCAGATATCCAAATAGGGTTGAAACTTGTAGAGTTACATAGCTTCCAATTGAAATGTTATCATTCTAGATTTGGAAAGAGGTTTTAACTCTTGACGGATGATAGATGACGATAAATTATATTTCTTACTGTCAGGGAATGATTGAAAATTTGTTTCGTTATCAGGCACACGTGATATGGAGCCTTACTATTCAATCAAACAGTGGTTAGAATATAAATGTAAATATATGTTGTTTTTTTTCAATTTTATTGTTATTCCGGTTGAGTTTAATAATTTAACATACTAGCAGCCGTTCAACAAATTAAAGGAATAAGTTTAAAAGTTCTTAGATTTAAATTTTCATTTCGGTTTTCAGATTCGTGTTTTTATTTTTCATTCCTAACCAACATTATTTTAAATGTCTCTTTCAGATTGTGTCCCTCGTTAGACTGACCCAGTTGAACACCGAAATCAAGCATCACTGGACAGTAAGCGGACTTCTCTGAGTAACCTGCGTAGGGACCGTGGGTGCGCGGTATCGTTAGACTGTTCTACCGTAAAATGATCAACTTCATGCGTAGGTCGTGAGCAGTGAATCAAAATTGCATGTCTTCCTCAGGGATGTTTTCCAGACCGTCGCCAATACCCAGTGTGCAGCTTTAACAACATTCCTAACCAACATTATTTTAAATGTCTCTTTCAGGTTGCATTAAAAAAATTATTTAGAGAATTAAAAGAATAAATTGAATCGAAATAACTCTAAAATACGCAAGTATTTCTAATTTTATTTTTTAATTTAATTTTGAAATCCTATTTTATATTAGGGCAGGTGAAATCAACGAGTGAAATGCTGAAGTTTGAAGAATGTGGTGATTGAGAGAAAGGAAAAGTAATTGAGATTTTGAATATTAATAAGAAAAAAATATATATTTATTTCTAATTATTATTCTTATTAATTGTTTTACTCAGACTTTTTAATGAAGGTTTTTCGTTTTCGATAAGATTACTTTAAAAAAAAAACGTTGCTTTCGCTGATTTAAAATCGCATAAAAAATTTTTACATTTTAATTTTAAATTTTACCAATTCTTAACGTATCAAAATTCTGAAAAAACAAAATTCTCCTTGTTCAAACTTTCCTAAAGACGTGCAGCCTGGTTCTGGAGTAATTCTCATTACAGAGTTAGCATTCTCCGCTTAGATTCATTTAAAAAAAAAAAAAAAAAAATTGTTTCTCAAACTTCAAGTTTTTCCAGTTTTTTTTCTTCTTACTATTTTGTACTAGTTCAAATTGTGGTGTTTAGATTGTTCTAAGTTTAAAATTGTTTGATAAATGAATTTTTTTTTCACAAAGAAAAACCCATTTTTCTTTCAAATCACTAGTTTTTTTTCCCTTCAAATTCAAATATGTTTAGTTAAAAAAACTGGCAACTTAAATTATCAGTTACATTCCAAGGTATATTATTCATTGTTTATTTAAATATGTCACCAAAAACAGCTGATAGTTTACGAACAGCCATCGTAAGAAAACAGGAAACGTCGGAAGGATAATATATGCCTTTTCAATGTTATTATCAGTTTTTTTTTCCTTCTCAAGTAAAATGTAAGCTGTTTCTAATCTCTGATATTTCCTTTAATGCTTAAACACAAAATATTTTAATTTATTTCTACTCAAACAACTTTTGAAACCCAAACAAAACATTTACTTCGAATTTTTTTTGATCTTTTAGAAAAATATTTGACACACATCCTTTTGTTGTTTTAAAGACAGCAAATATAATTTTATTTTTGTTATTTCCTATATTTATGCTAAAATAAGAGATTTTTTTTAAATTGATAAAATAATTTTATTTTATTTTATAACCGTCGTTGAAGAGCTATTTTATTCATCTACTTATGTTCAAATCCGTTGAACATAAGCAGATGAATCTCATTTGAACCCAATCCAGAAGACAAGGAAACTCTTGGATCAAGTATAGGTAGAAATTTGCCTTCGTGGAGGACTTTTTGATGGAACTAACCCGCATTCACCTTACATTTAGAGAAAACCAACGAAAATCTCCCATGGTTAGCCCGATGACAAGGGAATTCTGACCCATGAACTACCACTGAGGATATTTTTACATCATCACTATGGTCGGTGCAAGCCGGATGCGGAATCTATCGCTGGGATTCAAACCCGGACTACCTCATTGGAAGGCCCTGAGCCGTCACGTCTCTGATAAAATAGTTGTAACTAAGCTTACAAAATTCCTCACCTCTTACCCTGATCAGTGGTCATCACAGCTAAAAGGAAGAAAAACCAAAAATAAAATTTTAATTCCTCTTTTTATTCGAAATTATTAAATTTTAAAATTAGAAAAAATTTTTACACTTTATTTATTATTGTGATTATAGTTTAACAGCCACAGCGCTCAATGAGATGGACCTAGGTTCGAATCCTAACGTTCGCTGGACAGTACAAATACTGCTTCCGACTCGCACCGATCACAGTCCTGACGTTAAGTATCCAATGTATCATGACTTATTATCGCTAGAAATCTCTTGCTCTCGGGAGGCTTTCGTGGTTTTCGTCTCCAAATAGCGCAAATGCGGGTTGATGTGTTCCTTCAAATAGTCCTCCAGGAAAGCTAGTTTGTCCCAATGCTTGATCCGGGAGTTCCCTTATCTTCTGGGTACAGTTTAAAATTACATAGCTGCAGAGTTGATAGAACCAAAAAGGAATCGAATGTCAACGCCTGTTACAAAACAAAATTATCAAAATTATCGGGGTCTAATTTATTAATTGCATTGCAATTGTTACAAGATACATATTTTTCATTTTGTAGTGATTTATATTTTTGCAATTAGTTTCACAATCTTTTTTAAATTTTTTTTTACAGGATTCGTTGCAAACTCTTTGCAAATAATATATATA